AGAGTCACTGTGGCTCAGCTCTAATGTCCAATCTCTTCAAGTTAGCCCCAGCAAGACAAAGGGCTCTCCAGTTAATGAGACAGGACCTTTCCTCCTCAAAAGACAATTTAGTTGCCTATTTTATTGCATAAACATACCCCAGGGGAGTCTGGCCTCCTCTTATATATCCCAAAGGTTTTTAAAAAATATTTCTTTCTACCACATACAATGATCACCACAAGAGAACCTTAGCTGAATAAAATTATCTCCACTTTATTACAAACATAAATCCATCTGCATAAGCAATAGTATTTTTACAGCCCCCACCCCACCCTAGCCCCCATCCCACTTCAATAGAAAAATTGTCCGCCATGAAAATTAGGAATGAGGGGGAGGGGCCACACAGCAGGAGGGGAAGGAGGTGAGCGGGCAGGTGAGGGAGTGAAGTTTCATCTGTATTTTCAGCAGCTCCCCGTCGCTGGCATCACTGCCTGAGCTCTGCCTCCCCCATTCCCCCACGCCCCAGTCTGTGGAAAAATTGTCTTCTGTGAAATCAGTCCCTGGTGCCAAAAAGGTTGGGGACCGCTGATTTAAGGGAGAGAAAAACTAGTGTTTATACCAACATCACCCAGCTACGTGAGCCTGAACAATCGCTTTCTTATGCCTCAGTCACAACGGAGGGAGTACCTCACCTGCCCACAGGCCAGAGTCTGGACCGGATGATCCCTTGGATGTCCTTTCTGGAAGTTAGACAGGTTATTTCCCTAAACCACTGTTTCTCAAATGGTTTCAGGCATCTGAATTCCCCAAGGTGCTTGTTAGATCACTGGACTCCAGACTGAGTTTCTAATTCAGTAGGTCTAAGGAGGTCTTGAAGTTTCCCCAAGCTCCCACGTGCCACAGATCCTGGTGCTACTGGTCGAAGGGCCGTACCTGAGAACCTCTGGTCCATATGATTAGAGCTCTATCTCACAGCCCCTATATGGGAAAGCAGTGGGTGGGGGGCTACACAGGCTCCTCTTCATTTTTTTTCAAAATGGGGTTCCCTCTTGAAAGGATGAGAGATTAGTTCTGTTTGCCCACTGAGTCTCAGATGCTACAGCCACACCTCGGCAACTAATTACAGGCCGAAAGGAAGCTGGTGGTCATTCTCATGAGGCCATTCTCTGAAGAAGGATGGGGAAATGGAGGACAGCTAAGAAGTGAAACCCAAAAATGCCATCACACAGTTCCTTTGTATAAGCGAACCTTCTAGAACTTTCACTTTTCATATATACAAAGTCAACACAAGCATCCATTGAGGGTTGACCATTCATAGGTCCGGCACCAAGTAATGCAAGGTGGAATGCAAGAAGACCAGGAGAAGAGAAGTTTTCTGAAAGAAGATAGACAAATGGCCAACAAGCATATGAAAAAATTCTCAACATCACCAATCATTAGGGAAATGCAAATTAAAACTACAATGAGATACCACCTTACCCCTATCAGAATGGCCATTATTAAAAAGTCAAAAAACAATAGATGCTGGCATGGACTCAGAGAGAAACAGATACTTATACACTGTTGGTGGGACTGAAAATTAGTACAACCTCTATGGAAAACAGTATGAAGATTCCCCAAAGAAATAAATGTAGACTTACCATTCGATCCAGCAATCCCACTGCTGGGTATCTACCCAAAGGAAGTTTTTTTATCAAAAAGACACCTGCACTCAAATGTTTATTGCAGCACAATTCACAATTGCAAAGATGTGGAATCAGCCTAAGTGCCCATCAATTCATGAGTGGATAAAGAAAATGTGGTGTGTGTGTGTGTATATATATACACACCATGGAGTACTGCTCAGCCATAAAAAGGAATGAAATAATGTCATTTGCAGCAACTTGGGTGGAACTAGAGACCATTATCCTAAATGAAGTATCTCAGGAATGGAAAACCAAACACCATATGTTCTCACTAATAAGTGGGAGCTACTACATGGGTACACAGGCACAAAGCGATATAAAGGACATAAGAAATTAAGAAGGGGGGAGAGTGGGTTAGGTTTAAAAACATGCCTATTGGGTACAATGAACACTCTTCTGGAGACGGGTATACTGAAATCCCCAACTTAAGCATTATACAAGGTATCCATGTAACAAAAACACTTGTACCCCCTTAATTAATATTTTGAAATAAAAGAAAGAACATTGGGAGAGTGCAGACTTCCCTTGGGGACTGCAATCTCATGAAGAAGGCAAAATTCACATGTGTCCACACGCCTGACCATCATACATCAAGACAAACAGACACTTAGATAACGAGGTCATGTGGTGTGGAGAGAGAGACTTCCGGAGAGAGGATGTTGGTGGACTTGAGAGACCTGGGTTCCTGGAGGAGGTGAGGGGGGCTGGCAGGGGCTCGGAGGGACAGGAAGGATGCGAGCGGTGGAAAGACGAGGGAACACGAAAGGAAGCCTGGATGTGCCTGGAATATTAGCAGAGAGGATTGGAAGAATGAGCGGGGGACTCTCAAAGCCTGTCCCATCCCTCCTCGTGTATCCTTCCTCACGCCATTCTCATTTCTGTGTCTCAGTTTCCTCATTTTGAGACATGAGGGATTTGGGCTAAATCACAACTTCTCTATTTCGTTCCTCTTGGAGAGATCCCAGGCCGGAAAAGGGTGAATGAGCAGGCTCAGCCCTTCTCTCCGTCCCGCCTGTGCTTCAGTCAGAGCAACTCCGCTTTCTTACATTTGTATACTCCCTGTACAGTTCTGCTTCCAGAGAGAATTTGAAAATGACTCAATAGGAAACTCCATAAAGGATCCTTCCACGTGCAAATTGAGTAAAAGAGAGAAAGGAGCCCATTAGCCCAGGGGATGGACTCCCTGGTTGGCCAGGCTCGATTCTGGGACATCTGGAAAGCACAGACAGCCTTAGAACGATGAGGGTGGGAAATAGGGAGCCCTTGACGGCTTGTGAGCGGAGGAGTGCCATAGCAAAAGAAGCAAAATTGGGCCCACAAACTACTGTACTAGAAAATGATCTGAAAATCTCAACTGCTTAGAAAGTTCTGAGTAAAAACAAAGGGTGATTTTCCCCCTTGTCAGCCATCCCTCCTAGGACATTACACTGTATGCAAAACGGGTAACTGTAAGACAAACATTTTTTTCCACTGCCCTTCTCGGCCCCACAGGCCTTCAGGAAGACCTGAATTTCAACAAAGCCTTTTTATTTTTCAACACCCACAGCTTCCATTCAACAATCAGAAGTTTTCCACTTTGATCAAAGAGGCTGAACAAGAGGGCCGAGAGAGCAGGCTGTTCTCAGCAGCTCTGGGCAGGTCGCAGGCCCCTGCTACCCACTCGCCATCCCTGCCCACCGGAGGACACACAGCCTTCTTCCCAGCTTAGCCAGGTCCATGCTCCAGAAAACACTGGCTTGCCTCGTTCCGCTTCTATTACCAGACCAAGTGAATGTGTACACACACCTATTCCAACACCACACTCAGCTAACTTGGGATCAAGGCGCGCCTCAGCTTCCCTGACTGCAAAATGGGTGTATTGCCTGCCACTCTGTTTAGCCCAAGAAACAATACATCTTTCAATGCCTTTTCTGTCTCCAGAATCTATGCTTTTATGATTCCCAGGGAAGGGATATGCAGATCAACTCCTGAAGTCTGACCTAACTCAAGCAATCTCAGATGTTGGGATCTATGCACGGATATAGATGGTAATAATCCAAGCTTGGCTTTGGACATTTCCTTAGGGGGTTTGGGTTCTCCGCTGGCTCTCAGTGATGCACTGCAGCCAAAACAGTGAGCAGAAAGGGAAGGGGGTGCTATGAAGAATGGGACTTCCAGGGTGATGCTACATGGAGCCTTCAAAGAGCCACATCTGGAGGCAGCAGCTATGCCATGATTAACATTTTAAATGGTGTTTTGAGGCAGAGATCATTAGGAACCACAGATGTGACCCAGCTCTGTCCCCCAGAGAATCTATCCGTGTTAGCTGTCTAAATTCCAGACTTAGAATTTAGGGCGACCCCTCGGAATGTTTCACAGGAATTGTCCAACACCACCTGCCAAATCTATTTCCATCTATGAAGTCCTCTTCTGTCATCTCATTAGATCCTCCCCGTGACTGTAACACAGGTGGGGACCAGGGAAAGGACTTGTACAAGGACCAAAGGCTAAGGAGGGGAAGGGCTGAGACCAGACCTCAGGTTTTCAGCCTTCGAGTGCAGTGAAGATTGACTGACTTAGGATAAGCTTCAAGACAGGCAGGTTTGGATATGCACCCACGTTCTTTCCGTGATCAATGTTTGCAATTTTGGTTGAGACAGTTTTCATCCTCTCAGAGCTTCAATTTTCCCACATGCAAAAAAGAAATATTACCTGCCTCCGAGGATGGAGATGAAAGTGGGGAGACGCCACATGTAAGCTCCTAGCGCTGTGTCTGAGACAGTAGGGGTTCAATTCCATTAGTCACATGCACACACAACACACACTCCGCACACATACGCCACACAGAACACACAAGCCACACCACACACACGCACCACCTGGTACACCACACGGAACACACCCGTCCCACATTCCGCGCCGCACTGCCTCCCTCCCCCCAGCCTCACCACCAATTCCTTCCTCTTTTTGAGTTTTATGGCTGGCCCAGGTTCGTTTGCAAATTAACAGATCCGGAAACCTTCTGTGGGAGTTCTCGTGCAAATGATCCATGCTTCCAGATTCCTGCTCTCTCACAGTATCTGCCCCCCAAATTTCATACTGCCATGACCTTGTCCCCCCTTTGGATAAATCTTCCCATTGTGGGCTCTTCCTTTCCAAATACCCGGCGGCATTTCCCGTTTTCAGCGGGAGGCAATATTATCAAACTGAACCCTTTGAAGTTATTCTGCTGCAGTGTGAGGGATCCGGACCCCTGAGGCCCAGCAAAGACACAGCCTCTGAGGTCTTCTGAGCCCAGGCCTCGTGGAAAGAATGTGCAGCTTCTCGAGCATGAAGGCATTTGTGGCCAAGCCTAAAGGAAGCAGAAGCTGCTTTGTACGCGCACACACACACACACACACACACACACACACACACACACAGTAGAGGAACCGTCATTTTCCTACGTGCCCTCTGACATCAGCCACCTTCTCTGTAGTGACAGTTTCTCTGCACTCAAATTAATCCCTGGCAATGAAAAATGAACCTCTCCCCCACCCGTGCTGCCGCCTGTTGCCTCACGCCCCCAGAGCGGAGTTTCTCCACGAGGCCGTCGGTGAAGGTTTTTTTCCAAGTCACATGATCCAGGATGCAGGGGGAGAATCCTTCTTGGAACCGAGATGAGCCCAGAACCGAATCAGATGAGGAGAGATAAGGTGTGATGTGGGGAAGACTATATAAAGAATGGACCCTGGGCCGCGGCAAGCACTCAGCCAAGGGGCCCCTCCTCGGGACGCAGCCATGCACGTGCCGGCGGGCTCCGTGGCCAGCCACCTGGGGACCACGAACCGCCGCTACTTCTATTTCACCACAGCCATGCTGGCTCTGTGTCTCGTCTTCACTGTGGCCACCATTATGGTGCTGATAGTTCAGAGGATGGTAAGTGGACTCCTCTTCCTCCCTTTTCCTTTCTGATTTACATTCTGTTTTCCCCAGACATCAAGCCCTGGGAGCAAACTGATAAGTTAGTTGAGAAGTTAGTCGAGAGCAAAAAATTAAAAGTAAATAAAATTGTGTGTATATATATGTACACACGTGGTGGAGAAAGGAAGAGAGAAAACAGGAATTTAACTCTCTGAAATGATTTGGCTTGTTGAGAGAAACATTGTTGGGCCAGCATCTCAAAACCTTCCAGATCTGCCTGAATCAAAAGCGTGGAGAGGAGCTAGTGGCCTTGAGAAATTAAGATTTAAATCTTGCTAAGCCAGAGACCTATATCAAGGAAGGAAGCAATGAAAAAACCTGATAACACGTTTGCACAACTTATCATGTCTTCAAGGCCTTCAGACTAGATTCTGAGGTTCTATAGTCTCAGTCAAAGTGCTCCTGAGGTTTCTGAGATCTCAGTCACCGCCAAGAGTTCTGTTTTATTTTGTTTCTTTAAAAGAAAAGGTCTAGAAGGAAAGAAGGCAAGAGAGAAGCCCAAGGCTCCTTAAGAGCTTTGGCCATTTCAGTGTTAAAGCCCACAAGACAAACTGAAAGCTTTGAAGAACTTAGGGTACCACAAGAAACAGAGCACAGAAGCAGAAAATAGAAATGTTTTTAACACCTGTTCCCTCCGAGACACCTCAGAATACTAAGCAATTGTGGGGTACACACTGTACGGGGTGAAACTGTCTCAGGAGATTTATTTTGTTTGAAGTAAATGGTGAGATTTGTTTCTGAAAACAGAAGAAAAGATGAAGGAGGAAGCTTCTCCATATTTTAGGAAATTGGTGTTTACAGAGAATCCACCAGTATGTATTATGTAGAAAATACTATAGTAATAGCCTATATTGCTCATGAAATTTTTTGAGGCAGTGAAGTTTTTGGTAATTTTGGTAATTTAAGAAATGTACCCCCCCTCCCTAACACACCCTACCAAAGTGAGAACATTTCTACTTTTTACTCCACAGCTCCCATTTCTGGAGGTATTAGAATCCTGCAGAATTTGTTCTGGTTTGCTTGCAGTTGTCTTAGGCCCAATACTCCATAGCTTGTCAATTGCTAAAAAGAACTAGGCTCTGAAAGGCCTATTTCTCAAGTGTCTTCAAGCTTTGACATTTAAATGCAGCATTGAAGCTCACATTTCCATAACAGTGAGAAAAGGGAATTACAGACATTTGATTTAGATAGTGGAATTTGTAAAATTCATAATTTAACAAGCTCATTTACACCTACTAATAATATTACTCTTGAAAACATTCTAGGGTACCTTTTCTTCTATAGAGGCTCTACAGTTTCTGTAATTCTAATTTGTAGTCAACCAGGGATGTGTCATTTTATAGCAATGGCCAAAGAAAAGAAATCGAAGTAGCCTTTAAGAAGTGCTTTAGTTAAAGGATGTAGCTAGAACTGCTAAGAAAGAGAGAGAAAGATCTAGATGGTGAGAGGAGGGGTGATGATGGTGGTATTCAGAGAGAGTTCCAGAATAGTCCTCAACCAAATCCAACTTTTAGTGGAATTGATTTGAAGGAAAAGAGTGAATCTTTCTGCTTTGTTTTTGTAAATGTGGAAAATGAGGAAGAGAGAGAGGGAACAGGGCTTGAACTAAGTCACCCTGAGAAAGTGGTACAGCCTAGACTGATTGATTACAGTCAATTTGTAAAGCTGAGAACAGCTTTTCCTTTTCCCAACACAGACAACCACAGAAGCACAAAGAAACTTTGTTCCCACTCTTCTCTTGGGAGCTTTACCTTCTTACGCATCCATTTCCTTGATTTACCCATTATGCTCGGATATGAAAAGATTCCCTTCACAGTCTGAATGTCTGGTTTGGTGTGCTGTGATTTCTTAGCCTGAAAAATATCACTTACTTGCTTAAAACTAAGGCCTGTAATATTAATGGCAGTTGTGATACATTAAGTGTCAAATGCTTTGCACATATCATTTCCAATAAATTGCTCAGACATTTGCTGTTATAAGACCTAAGAAGAAAATGTTATCCCCTTGAACTTGAGTTATCAGGAAAGGCTTCCTAGAGGAAGAGAGAATGTAGACTGATTTTAAAACAGGAAGAACTAAGACAAGTGAAGAGATTCAACGGGGCTCTGGGAAAGAAACCAGTGGGAGAAAGCCAAGGAGCTTAGACTCACACGCCCATTATTAAAAGTGGAATGAGTTGGTGGCTATATTGCACTCTTTGTGTGTGATGGGAGCAGGAAGGAGAACAATAAGAATAGTTTTACTGGCATGAGCAGTCACACAGTTCTAGATCAAAAGACACATGTATAGAAAAAATTGAAAACACCAAGGTCATAATATATAAAAAGTGATGGAAGGGCTACCATGACAAAAAGGGTTACCACGAGATCATAAGTTAAGGAGAGAGGGCGTTTCCCCAGGCAGGCTTAAGGAAAACTTCCCTGGAGATTGGAATTTCAGGTTGGCTTGAAAAACATGAACAATTTCAAACAGGCAGGGAAGGAAGAGCAGGGGAGAGGCACTCCTGGCCGATGGGAGAGCGTGAACAGAAAGATGGAGAGGAGAAGATACAGGGCATGCAGGAAAATCAATAAAGATTGCCTTGAGGTTTGACTTGAAGATCAAATAACTCCAAGGTCAGACTCCTTGGGAGAGACAAAAAAGGAACTTAGGCTTCAATCTCTAATATTTATTGAATATTTACTGGGTAGGGAACATTGTTCTAAGCACCGGATATATAGCCTTGAACAAAACCGGCAAAATCCCTGCCCTTGTGTTCTTATGGATCTTACTTTGTAGTGACATCTTTAAAGTCTCTGTGGGTGGTTGTGTTTGGTTTTATTTACATTTAAACCAGCGTATCTATCATAAAATATTATATTTACGTGGTTTAAGAAAAGTAAATCATGTACTTTACTTGGTTTACAAATCAGAAGAAAGAAAAGAAAGTAAAATCCTTTGACATCCTCTCCATCCAACCACCAATCCCTCTTTGCTGAGATAACCACCATTAACAGATTCTCATGTGTCCTTCCAAAAATCTGTGCATGTGCAAATGCATAGTACACACATGGCATTACAATAAACCCATAAATTTGCATCTTGCTTTATTCACTTGAATAAGTGTGCACTGTATATCTTAGAGACCCTTCCATCTCAATACACAGAATTCCATTTCATTCTTTTGAAGAGTCGCATACTATTCTATTGTAGAAATGCTTCATAATTTAATTTACCCATGCCTAGTGAGAGACACTAATATTTTTCTCTAGAATTTTTTGTCTTCTGTGAATGTATCTGTGCGATAAATTTTTAGTGGTGGAAATAGAATGCTCATTTTCACTTCAATAAATGTTGTCAATCAGCCTCCAAAGAGATGGCACCAGTATACTTTTGACAAAGTAAACGTCCTACCAACAAAGAGACACCTCTTTACATCAATGTGGAAAGAAAAAAATGATTTATTTCCTTTTGTGTTGAGGAGGCACAAGAGTATATGCCTATAGGTAGCCTGTAAGAGACTACAAAGTCAGGATGAAATTGCACGTAATTTATATAGCAAAGCAAAAGAAAAAAACAACAAAATTGCTCTTATCTTCTCCAGAGACAAAGGAATACATAATGAGATAGACTCTTAGGTTAACACCAGAGGTAGGTGTTTACATTTCAGGGGGTGGTCTGAGGTCCTCAAACTCAGAGGCATCAGTGTTTTGTAAACTAAGAGACTGGACTTGTCTAGCCCCAGGAGAGAATATAAATAGTTGCATGCCAAAAAGTTAAATCAAGGGCTAAGGGTTATGAGGTTTCCAAGTAGACCATTTCTAGAAAGAAAGAGAAAGCAAGTTCCTCTTTTCCCTTTATAAGCAAATTCTTTTATAAAACAAAATGTATCCCTGTAGTACCACTCTATACACCAACAGGGGAGCTGAGCGCCTCTTTAACAGTGGTGATTGTTGGTGGTGGTGGAGCTTTTTTTTGGTTTGTTTTTAAGTTCAGATTCAATATAAGAGTGGGTGGAAATGCCCTGTGACACTTCCCTCTATCTGACATTCATTCCATTTATCAATCCAAAAAATCCACTGAAAGTATTCCCAGGAGCAAGCCCTGTGCTGGCAGTGAGGGTAAGAAAGTCTTCTGGAAACTCTGCTAAATGGAGGACATGAAGTCCAGCCCAAATACCAAGTGCTTGATTCCCGGGCAGAATGGCACAAAATGCCACATACTGAGGAGAGGTAAACTCTGCTTAGGATAAGGAGGGGCTCGCAGAAGAGCTAGAACCAAAGCCAGGTCTCCAAGAATTAGAAGAATCGTGTTCTATGCCCAAACCTTTGTTTGGAATATTTTCAAACCTACAGAATGGCGAACAGCCATATAACCTTTCACCTAGATTGGCGCGTCAGCAATTTGCTGTATTTGTGCTCTCTCTCTATGTAAATGCGGGAAAGTGAGTTGTAGACAGCATAACTTCTCACCCACATGTACTTCAGTATCCATCTCTTACTATGCCACTATCATAGCCAAGAGAGTTCATGTTAATTCAGTAATATGATCTAATAATAATATATGGTCCATGTTTTAATTTCTCCACCTGTCCAAAAATGTCTTCTATAGCCGTTGTGTTTTGTTTGGTGTGATTCAATGTAGGATCCTTACGTCTGTTTTAATCTAGAATGTTGCTATTTAAAGGGTGGTCCTGGGCCCTTGTTAGAAATGCAGAATCTTAAGCCCCTTCCCAGACCTACTTAATCAAAATCTGCATTTTAACAAGCTCCAACTCCCGCCCAATTCATATGCATATTAAATTTTGAAAAGCACTGATCTGACAATCTCCCTGCCCTTTGTTGTTTGTTTTGCATTACTGACTGTTTTGAAGGGTCCAGGCCAATTCTGTTTAGAGTTGTTCATGTTCTGGATTTGTCTTAGCGTTTACTCATGATTATATTCAGAGGAAACATTTTTGGTAAGAAGAGTACATAGGTAATGCCATGTAGTTCTTATTGTAGCACAGATAGAGGCAGATTGAACCATTTTTGGTAATTATACATTCAATCACTTGATTAAGGTGGTGACCACTCGCTATTTCGTTTGTGAAACATTTTTTCTTTCTTATTAGTAAGTAATATAGGAGGTAATACTTTGAAGACCTAAATATCCTTCACTCAGTGGTTTTGGCATTTCTTGATGATCCTTTGAAGGCAATGAGGCAAGAAGGGTGATTGCCTAATTCTAACATTCCTTCTTCATTTATTAGCTGACATCCTTCTGTAGAGAAAAGCTTGCCATTGGAAGGATGGTGGCAGGTGGAGGCAGGGCAGGATGCTCTAGGTGAGAAAAGAGTGAGCAGAAGCACAGCTCAGAGAAGGCAAGCCCAGGTATGAGGAGAGGAGTAATAGGACCAGAAGGCAAGTCAGTCCGGACTGTACAGAGGGGCAGGAAGTAGGAGTAGGTGGCAAAAGGCATTGACAGAAGAGGCTAAGAGGACAGACACCACTCCTATCTTGAAACCAGGAAGATTTACTAAACCTACATCTGAGCCCAAATCCACACTCTGCCTCCTGTAGCCTTCTCTCAAGACCTCATGTGTTCTGATTGACTATTGATTAATGTCTTTAAGCCCTTGCTACTCAAGGTGTAGTCCATGGCCCAGCAACATTGGCATCACCTGGAAGCTCATTAGAAATGCAAAACTTAAGGACCTATCCCAGACCTATTGAATCAGAATCTGCATTTTAGTAATAACCTCAGGTGATGCTAAATCCTTTCAAGTGGGAGAAGCACTGCTTTAAGCCACTCTGGTCCAATTCCTACTTTTGTAGAGCATGCCAAACCAGGTACTCCCAATAAAAAATAGTCTTTCCCCTGGGGACTTTCCATGACTTTTATTCACTTTTCCACTGAGTTTCAGGAGAATTTGCTGCTCAGCTAGATCCTTCCCTGATCTAGACAAGCAATATAGCAGGGCATTGAAGACATTGCCTTCAAAGTCAACTCACCTGAGCGTGAATCCATTCTACGCTATTCACTGCCAGTGGGACCTTCTATAATCATTATCACATTATGTAATCACTTCTCTAAATTTTAGTCAAACCCCAACTCTTGGAGCCAAGGTAAAGGCCAAATAAAATCACACATGTCAAGCATTTAGCCTCAGGAGTAACCCTCATTAAGTGTTTGACCATGTTAGCTTTAAAATAAGGGGAATTCCTAGCAAAGGTCTCCATGGAATATGAGCCAGAGCCCACCTTACAAGGACCATGAGAGGCCAGCAAGGAAAGAAACGTGCAATTCCCCCTGGCATCCTCTAAACATTAGTTGCTTTTGATCACTTTCAGCCAGAGAGGGCATTTTGTGTCGACAGCAAATTTGGGAGCTGATGCACCTGCACAGTATTGTTCTGTGAAAAGAAATGGGCCCTTCAAGGTACTGAGGCAAATTAAGCACATCATTAAGAGCAAGGCAGTGCCCCAAATAGGGACCATTTTCAAGTACCAGTGAACACTTTATATTCAATATCGTATTATGTCTGCAACAACTCAGTGGAAAGCTGTATTATTAGCCCTCTAATCACAGTGATTAAAGGAGGGGAGAAAACAGTCCTAGGCAGGGAAGATGATTGGGATGGAGGCCATTTCACCTGGGGACAAACAGGTTAAACATGACAGCTCCTCCTTCCATACATGGAAATAGCTTTATTATTGTTGGGGATACTGTCAGATATCCACAGAGGCTGCAGGGGGGGAAAGAAAGAGGAAGTATGCTTAAGGAAGTATAAATGGTTGGTAACCACAGAGAGGAAGTTTCCTGAACTACTCAATGGAGCTGAGAATGACAACTTAGGAGGGTCCATCTGTTTGTGTCTGTGTCCAGACTAGGCACTACCTTACCCAGAGCCAAGTCACTGAGCAAGATGGTTCACACTTCCCCAGCCAAGATTTGGGGGAGAATTCTAGGACCGGAGAGACACCTTGCCACAAAGGAGTTGATGGGCAACACTGAACATAGTACTTGGGGCATAAACAGTCTTCAGCAAATTTTAACAGTCCTCATGTCTTTAAACCCTGCTTCTCTATTTCCAAATGCAAGGACTGCTTAAGGGAGGAGGGAGGAGGGAGGAGGGAGGAATGAGCTTTTCTATCCTTGGTTTCTGAAGACAGCATCTCTACTCATGCAGTGAAAAGCACACAGGAGAATTTCAGTCCAGGATCTGCCACTGACTCACAAGGGCCTCGGTTTCCTCCTCTACAGAATGAGCTTGATGGACTGAAAGATGTCTACGTGTCCCCTCTAACGTTGATCCTCTAATCTTGACTACTGTGGGTAGCTAAGGGAATCTATAGAGACCTCATCGCAAGAGCTCTTCAAACTGGGAATAGTCACTCTTCTGTCTTGGATGCCCTAGGCCCTGGATGAAGCTTTAAGCAACAGGATTCTTTTCTGTATTGAGATGCTTTGCTTTCGACATGCCCTGTCTGAAGTTAGGAAACCAAAAAAGCACTCAAACGACAGAGGAGAGGCTTCCCTGACCCCCATGAAAATTAAGTCCTCCTCCCTGAGACGACCTCTTACATCCTTGTTACTCAAAGTGTGTTCTGTGGTCCAGGAGCGTTGGCATCACCTGGGAGCTTGTCAGAAACACAGAGTGTCAAGCGCTACCCAAACCTGCTGAATCAGCACTGGCAGTTTAACAAGCTCCCCAGGTAATTCGTAGGCACATTAAAGTTTGAGAAGCACCACCTAAGACACTCTAATGATTCTTTTCCTTCATAGCTCTTACCGCAACTTGCAATTTAATTACATATTTATTTGTATTTTTGTTAAATCACTGCCTTAATGACTAAACCATAAAATCCATGGGATGTCGTCCAATAAGTCACATAGTTTCTACCACAGACCAGGTGCTCACCGAAGGTGTGCTGGACAAATGATTCCCCGGTACTTCCCCAACTGCTCGTGGCCTCTGGCAGGACGGCTCCAGCGGTTTCACTATTCTAGCATTCTCTCTCTGTCCTTGGATAAGTTCCTGGGCAGCTGATGAATTTGACAATCTTAGTACTGCATTTAAAACGTGATATTTTTTCTTTGTGCATTTGTACATCACACTACTCGACAGTCATGCTTGGCAGTAAATTAGTTGTTTATTAAATTTCGAAATGCTGTTTGTTGTCCCACGGAGGCAACACACAGGGGAATTTTGTGATGTCAGATTTTCCTACGAACTGCGTGCGTAACTGAGAGACCACAAATGTACAGCATTGTTAATTAGGTTATAAGCTTTCAGCTACGGCAATACAATTATAGACTTTCACAGCAGAGAGGGAAGGACCCTCCAGGTCAAGTTCGCCTCCCTCGCCCTGAGAAGCTGAGGCCCAAATGTTTAAGCTGACTTCCCCCATCTCCAGATCAGTGCGCTGCCAGGGCTTTGCCTTCAGGGGACCTCCTTGACTCAGTACCACCCGCTGGGGTTAGAGGAGAAGAGATCCTTTTGTTAGAAAACAGGCTGTCAGTGGAAGGCAAAGGACAGAGCTCCTAGGGATGTGTTAGAAATAGGGGAACTCCAGATGGTCCTAGGTGTTCGTACAGAACGCTAAGAAAATAAGATGTGGGCAGCTGCTAATTTCTTGCTTTGGCAGAGCTTGCGAAGGTGTTTTTTTCCCATGTAAATGGTCACATCTCTCTAGATCTTTATTAACATTTCAATTCAATGCACTGTAGCAGATTCCAACCTGGGCAGTTCAAAAGATGAATAAGATACTTCATGCCTGGCAAGACACCTCGGGGGTGTCTCCATGGCTGAGGTGAGAGACAGGGGAAGAGGGATAAAGGTGGAAAAGTTAGTTTCTGAGGAATTTATTAGGGGAGAACTATGCGCCTCTGCTTTTCCTAACTCCTTGCTCAGAGCACCTGAATTAGACCTTCCATTAATCACCTCCGATCTCCAAACCCGGGACTCTCTCCTTCAGAAGACAATCTGTTTCTATCAGCCTTTTATTTATTTGTGTAAATAGTGATGTACATATCGTTTATTATAGAATACATAATATATAATGTACATGTATAAATATGTAATATGTATTTTATATTTATTTGTTACATATTTGCATATTATTAATATATTTAAATATAAACTTGTAATAGATCCATGAGGGCAGGGACCCAATTTAATTATTTATGGTATCCTCACTATGCTTGGCATATAAACAATTCGGAATTTCCAACCGCAGGAGAGATAAACACATACCTTCCCAGGTATGTTTACAACATACTTTCACAGTTGAATCAAACACGGAAAAAAGAAACCACATGTACTTCAACACTGTACTTGATTATTCTTATGTTGACCAAAGGAAAAACAGTAACACCTATAGAGGGGGAAAAAGCACCAGACCAGCCTGGGAGTTGCGAGTCCCAGCTGTGGTCCCTGAGCTGCCGTGAACTCACTGTGCAGCCCTGGGAGGTCCTCTTATCTCACCCAACCCCATGTCTCTAGTCTGTGAAATGGGGATGGATGTCCTTGTCGTCATTTCTGGTAGGCCAGTTGTCAAGCAAATGGAAACTAAGTCAGTGAATTCATTTTTAAAATTTAAGAATCAGGTGAAGAGTGAGTTCTAAACTGCACAGTCCTTTAAGGACAACCAAAATGGAAAAAGGAAAGGCGAGTTGTTTCAACCGAACGTCACCTCATGCTGCTTTTTTCTTTCTTCTCTTCCAGGACTCTATTCCCAACCCACCTGACAACGTCCCCCTTAAAGGAGGTAAGATCTCGGAATTAGGAGTGAATGTGTGGTGGGCCATCCAGATGACACCATGAGGTGTGGGCCCTGCCTGTCAACCAGAAATGCCATGACCCAGTCACGTGCGTGGGGTGCAGGTGAGGGCTATTCGGGGCTGAGCTGATGTATCTGGGATCATCTCAGTAGCCCCTGACCAATACTCTCATCCCCACCAGTCTCCCACCAGCCCTGGACACTCCCACCAACGAAAATTCTACCTCTGGAGTAGGCTATCTCATGGACAGGAACACAAGGGAGCATTGTGTTAAGAGCTTGAAACCCTAAATCAGGCAAACGGGGGTATGAATCTTGGCTCTACTTCCCTCCTGGGAGCCTCAGTTCCTCATCTATTAATTGGGAATAATAAAATCTACTTCATCAAGGTATTGGAGAAGCCAGTCAGACCTCATCTATAAATTGCTTAGCATGGCAACCAGCACATAGCAACTGGCGATCGCCAAATGCATAATGAAGTCAGGGACTGGTGGACACAGACTCCCTCCTCACTCCATCCATTTCCAATCGCTGAAGTCACTAATTAAGACACTGTCTCTACTAGCCCCAGAGAGACAATACACAGAGCTCAGTTAACACTGAAGATGAGAAACTTTGAGCTCATTTGATTAATGTTTTCCTTGCTCAAAGGAGGAAAAGTAAGACCCAGAAAGGGAAAGTGAGGTGTCTTGTCCCCGGCTGTACAGAGCCACACCTAGTACCCGGATGTCCTCCTCTCTAGTGCAGTGTCCTTTCCACCCAAGAACATTAACCCTGTGACCTTTAGAACCTAGATAGCAAGCCCAATTGGATAAGTGGACCGCTAAGAGAAAGAAGTAAGGAAGTGGGTCCGCGCAGGCACCAGGGTAGGGACACCCCGGCCAGGCCTTCCCTGCGGTCTGTCACCCAGACACTTAGAAAGGAGGAGCAAAAGGCCCCAACAGACAAGATTCTGGATCTTTCAAGGAAGACTCATAATGACAACTTTGTCAACCGTATCTCAATCTTGGCTGGAATTACTTAGCATCTGGCCTCAATTCCCATAGCGCCTGTGTAGACAGTCACGTTAATGTAAACAAGAACATGGTTTAATGCAGAAGTAGGCAAACTTTTCCTCTAAAGGGCCAGACAGTAAATATTTTAGGCTTGGTGGGCTGTGAAGCCTCTGTTGCAGCTGTCAGCTCTACTGTTGTAGCGCTGAAGCCGCCAGGCAACATGCAGATGAGTAGACGCGGCTGCGTTTCCATAAAACTTTGTGTATAGAATGAGCTGGATTGGGCTCACAAACGGGAGTTTGCTGACCTCTGTAGTCAGCGGGCTTTGGAGTCAGATGTTTGAGTTAAGCATGTAACACACGTTCACCTGTAACACGTGTTGCAAAAAACAAAGCACCTGAGTAATACAATTTTCCCCTCCCTGCTAGCACCATTCCTTCACCATCTGTGCCCAGATTTTCCAAGAAAGACTGGAACTTCTTATTTTTGACAGGGAGAGGCAATATTTAACATGAACATGATCTCAGTGACAGTGGGACCTCAGGCATTGTGGAGCTCAGTTTCCTCAGATAGAGCACTTCAATCCTAGGTTGCCAAGCACAAGGGTTCTCCCTAGTGGTTCTGGTTCCATAATAAAGTTTTCATCAGTCCAAAGTGGAACAGGAAAAAAGACAAAGTAGCCCCGTTTTCACGTGGCCAGTTATATTGAATGGAAGTGGCACTCTGCCTCGGAGATTGCTCTTCCCACCTTTGGGGACATGAAAATGTCCTTTCTTTTACAACATGGAGTTGACATAGATAGGAGTTAAGTTGGTTTGCTTTCTGCCAGAGTTATTTTGTTTTGTTTTAATGATCACAATGGGCAAAATAAAAATGTCTGCTCCATGTTGGTTCCTGAATTTTCATTTTGGGGGAAATTTTTTTTGGTTTATAAAGTCCCAAAATTTTGGAAACTTATCACTTAGATCACTTATCAGATCCCTTCTTATATGAGCCGTGACTGAGAATATCAGGAGGCAAACTAATCCAAAACTAACTTCATTTGACAATTCAATGTTTCCACAACCAGATTTTTTTTTAATATGCTAATAATAATTCCTACTAGGGCTGTGAACTTCTGTTACAGACCTTCCCACACCTCCTTTGTTGCCCTTAGCCTCAAGCCTGTGAGCAAGCAATGGCAAGGTGGGGGTTAGTATTTCCAGCTCACGGATGAGGAGCTGAGGCCCAAGGAATCAGGGTGACCTACCTAAGGTCACACGAGGAGTTTGTGGCCTGGTGAGAGTGGAGGACTGCTCCCTGTCCCCCTGCATGCTGAACTTCGGTCATGAGATGCTAGTGACCGGCTGTAGGTGGTCTCTAACTTTCTTCTGCTTTTCATGCAAGTTTTCAATTCTCTTAACTTAGCAAACTAGAGACAGTGCAGTAGGTGAGGTGGAAAAATGTTCCTGGGCTCCAGAACTGACCTGTACACCAGCAGGCTGTTTCTCTGGGCAAGTCTTTTCTCCTCTCTGGGCCTCGTTTTTAACCTAACAGCAATGTACTAAATGAACTGGAAGAGTCTTCCCAGCTTTTACACTTTATGAGACTATAATTGTCTTGTCCAATGTGCAAAGGTAGAAGAAAAAGCCTAACAACAATCTTGAGGAAATCTGAAGCCACAGCCTCCTTCCTCAATAAGCCCATCTTTTTAAAAATTATTTTTTGTAGAGATGAGGTCTCACTATGTTGCCCAGGCTGGTCTCGAGCTCCTGGCCCCAAGTGATCCTCCTGCCTCAACCTCCCAAGTAGCTAGGACTACAGGTGCACATCGCCACACCCAGCTATTTTTTCTTATTTTTGCAGAGACAGGGTCTCGCTGTGTTGCCCACGCTGATCTCAAACTCCTGGCCTCAAGTGATACTCCTGCCTTGGCCTCCCAAAATGCTAGGATTATAGGCATGAGCCAACAAGCCCCCCTTAAACAGGCACAGAAGCAGCAAATTGGCCCTTTTGAAAAAAGCTATTGGAAGACATTTCAGGCAGAGGAGAACCATCTTCCAGAAACTCCTGGGAGGAAGCTCCAAGGGCGGCATGTGGTTTGTCACTAGGGAGAGCATGAGTGGGAGCCGGGCACCTTTCAGGGAGCCCTCTGCTACCTACTGCAGGAAATCTTTCACCATCAGCAGGAAACCAGCATAGGCCCAGAGCCTGGGATATTGCGCCACGTGCACACGCTAAAGTAGCAACACAGGATACACAGGGAAGCCACAGAAAACCAAGCCTTGCACGGTAATGAAAGGATTTCTGAGCCCTGACACAAGCCTCCCATCTCTATCCATACTGGCCCCAGCCAGCTGGCACCTCATATCCACTCCACTGTGCTCAGGATTCAGTGGACCATTCCAGGGCTTCAGTCGGGGCAGTGAGCCAGGAAGAGTGCAGGGAGGAGAACCTTTCTTCACACCCTTCTCCTCTCCAAGACTTAGTTTTCTCATCCAGAAGGTGGCGTTAATAATGATTCTGCATGAAGCCACCAAGAGGACGAAATGGGACAGCAAATGCAACCCTTATCTGAAGCATGGCAAAGCCTATAGCCTTTGGGCATAGGGTCTACTGTGTTCTTTCATATCCAAATGTAGTGGTCCCATCTCATCCTTCACATGGCATGGAACCAAGAAGGGTGGGGTAGCGAGAGCAGGGCTCCTGCTTCTCCTCCTCACTTCTTGTTACAGTTTTCTGTTTCCACCAAATTTTGAATCACATGTGTTCCGGCCATGTGGCTTATTTTCCCAAATAACAGAATACAGCCACCTTTGCCTTGATTTCCACCAAGTTCCAACAGCAGCCCACATGTGTGTATAGCAACGTCTATGGAAGGATTTAGGATATGTAGAGAAGCTGGGATGGTAGTGTGTTACATCACAGAGCAGCCCAGCAGGTGGTGTAGGATTGAGTATTAGATCCCTCTGTTCCTGTAAGGCTATGGTCCCCAACCTCTGGGCTGAGGACCGGTACCGGAGGTGAGTGGTTAGCAAGCAAGCAAAGCTTCATCCATATTTACAGCCACTCCCCATCACTCACATCACTGCCTGAACTCCACCTCCCCCAACCCCAGTCAACCCCACCCCCACCCCCCATCATGGAAAATTTGTCTTCCATGAAACCATTCCCTGGTGCCAAAATTTGGGGACCACTGCTGTAAAGTCTCCATTCTTCCGGCCACTGGGAATTTCTCAAGGGATAGTCCTCCTCCCTAGAGTTCAGCCCTCTGCCACCTGCACCAAGCCACTCTCCTTCTTACCTGTTTTTATGTCTTTCTTCTCCCCATTTCCACTCCCCTCCCCACCTCCCCTCACAAACTCTGCAGAAATTCAAATTGTACTGACTTTATTCTGTGGAATGATTTTGGTCCTTTGGTCTCATCCCCAGACCTTCCCAATGTGCTCTGGGCCTTTTTATAAACAAAACACTCCAGCATATGACAGGCCTTACCTGCACTAGAAGAATCCTGCAGACAGCAGTGAAGACAGCGTTCTTGCATTTCCTCGCTGCATCTGTCAGAGGCCCTGGCAGAGAGAGAATAACAAACATTGATGGGCATCCACTGTGTGCCAAGAATTGGCGACGTTCATAGTGATTTGCTGGTGCAGTCCTCGCAACACCCCCCAAGGACCATGGTTAGCCCGTTTTATAAGTAAGGAGACTGGAGCACAGACAGCTTTACCAACTTGCCTAAGATTCCTCTAACTACCTGCCAGTTAGAACAGATCTGTCTTTCCTGCTAATGTCACATGGCCTGTAGGATCCAGAGGTTCCTGGAAGCCCTAAGGAAGTTGAGACAGTAGACAGACCACATGCAGGTCCTGACAACCCCTTCAGTGCATTCCGCACCCTTGCCTGAATTCAGTCTTCTGCTGAAGACTGGGTACCGAAGGCGGAGCAGCACACTGGGATTTGGAATAGCAACATTCCAGTCCTGGGACTTGAAGTGACTCGCCTTCCCTCTCGGAG